CCCCCCCCCCCCCCCCCCAGTGAAGGATCGTCTTTTTATCCAGTCCCGACCTTCTCTCCACCTTATGCGCCGAGCAAGCCTGCGCGACGCCGTTCTCTCTCGACGGCATAAATCATGACGAATGCGAAAACAAGCAGCGCGCGTTGTACTTCTAAACATCGCCAGCCCTTCTGCGCGATTTTCCTCCGTGTCTCGTCCTCTCCTTTTTTCCTCTGGTCGTTCGGACCGACCGACCGACCGGTCGACTCCTCCGGCGCTAATTCCAACAAAAGAACCTTCCGCGCGCGGCAAGTCCTACCGGGCGTGGAAAATGGAGAACACACAACGCGCAAACACGACCCGCCCTGCCGTCCGAAACACGTTGCCGGTGGATTTAGCCGATGAAGGGTGGCGGTGAGAAAGGGATACCGAAACGGTTCGTCGCTCCCGTCCCCTCTGACCCCTTCGGGTCGAGAACGAGAAAGAGGGTGCGTGAACGGGTGGTTCAGGCGCTCTCGGCGATTCGCGGATGAATGTCGTCCGAGTTATAATTGCAACGAGCCGTAATTAGTTTTAGAAATTTAATTATTTCCGCGCGGTCGGATCGCGCGATAAATGCCGTCGGGCGCGCGAAACCTCCCGGCGAGAAGAATTATTTGACGATTTCCACCCTCCCCACCCACCCTTTTAGCGTGTATAACGCGCGCGTTAATCTCACTTCGGGGGTGACTTCGCGTCGGCGCGGGCGATTCTGTGTAATTGCGAATCGTTAGTCCACGTTTCGCGCCGGACGGACACTGCGTTTTACTTACCGGCTAAAGCCCTCGCGTCCCGGCGAAAGTGATCTCCCTGGGATTTAGCCAAATGCAAGTTTATCGTTTCTCCTCGCGCGCGCCTCGCGGCCTGGACGCGCTCATCTCGTCGAGCGATTTCTCCTTTCGGGACGCACTTGTGTGTTTCAACGATACGGCGGTGGTTTCGCTCTCGAAACACCTCCCAGACACACGTTTGCTTGATAGAAACAGTCGCTGCTATTCGTTGAAAAAAATGGTCGTAGCGAAAATTATCTAGATACGAGAAATTAGCTAAGACGGATAAATGACTGGCAAATATTTCATAGTCACATGTGTATCTATCACATGTGTAATCAATGTACGTGACAGAGGCAGAATTTTTATTCGGGCTATTTGTCTAATTTAGCAAGAAAGTCTCTCTGTGGGACCCATCCAGATTAAAGCCAGTCACGCTTCTTATTAAAAATTGGTAGCAGAGCATAAAATTTTCCTGCACGTATTGCTGGAATGCCGCTGCTGTAAATTATACACGCTAAAGACTATAGTCTAGCGGATACAGGAAATAGCGATACATTTTACCTGTGACATTTTTAGAATTCCAGCCGGCATTCTGAACCAGCGGAACGTTTCCCCGAGTGTTGATAGACTTTTTCAGCGATGTTTTACTGACTTGAAAAGGCTATTCTTATGACTGTGGTCATCAGTGACCATCGACCGCTTCTCAGTCAATAGTCATTAATTACACACTGATTGCACTTTAGAGAGTGCCTAGTTATTTCCATATATTTTCCCGTCTTACTCCGCGATCCCGTTTTGTCCCAGGTTCCCCTAATTATAACCACACACCGGCGACGAGCGGATCGATCGCCGTAACGCGTGTGCACTTTCTATTCCGTTAATCGCCGAGTGTCGTCGTCGAGTGCGCGCGAAAGTTTCTCTTTCGCGTAAACACTCGACGGTTGCGCGGGAACGCGCGATATCCCGCAGCCATAAATCGTCGGGACGGATCCATCGATCAATCGTTAAAATCGTGATCCCCGCACGCGCGCGCAGGTCGCCTCCATTAGCGATATGAATTCTTCCGGCGTGTACACACGGCGCGCCGGCACAAAGTAAAAGTTAATTGAACCCGCGGCACACACTCGGTTAGACGTGTTTACGTCGCGATTTATCACCGTCTGTGTCTTTCCTCTCCTCTCTTCTTGCTTTCCATTAAAATAATCGTGACTGAATGAATGGAGAGGCTCGAGATTGAACAGATAGATAACGGTGAGTCACACTCGTCGCGCGATTATTCATACTTTCCGGTGTGAGCGCGAAGAAGTCCTCTAATTGCGCGTTTGTCCCGCGCGATACGGGCGTAATTCACGGCGCATAAGGACGAAGTGAATGCGCACAAGGCATCCCGGTCGGTTACAACGATTTCTCATGCGTCATTCCTCCGCCGATCCTTCAGCACACGCGGCGCGCTCTTACGTGCCCGCTGTGATATATGCGCGTTGCGCAAACGAAAAGTGCCGGCGAATACAGCGATAAATCGATATTACCGCAAGGAATCCGAGTGCGTTTACCATTTTCCGCTGAGGCGTTTATCGCGTTTATATTTGTGACTAGATAACTACGATTGCATAAATTGTCGAATTGATTGAAGTCGCATAGCGTAACGCGTATCCAACAGAGCGCGGCTGTATAATTAATAATAGATCCTTGCTCTCGCGCAGTAGGTGTTTCCAAATTTTACTCCGTTTAAAGAGAAAAATAGAGAAGAGTAGAAAAATTCGCGCGCAAATATATGTAAATATATATACATATGGGTGTGTGTATATGTGTATATATATATATATATATATATATATATATATATATATATGAATTTTATTATAAACCAATTTCACCGTGAATATTTCACGTTTTGCGAAATGCACTGCATGCTTAATTAAACTGTGAAAGATTAAACGTTTCCATCGTTACATGCCGTAATGTAACGATCAACGATCGCAATTGTTTTAATTGCAGCATAAATTCCGCGTTACACGGTAGATGAGAGAGAAAGAGAGTCGATGGTGCATATTGCATACCGTTCGCACACTCGCGCTTATTAAGAGTGTAATACCTGTTTGTAAAGAACGTTTGACACGTCCTGAACGAACGTGTTAGCACGCTCACATTTGTTACCATCACCACTTATGCGCGGCTTGTCGATTGGCGTTTTCAGAAATTAATGCTTCGACTCTCTCGACGGTGGCTTGCGTTGTCGCTCGCTCATTGTTCGAATTCTAAGGGCAAGCACGCGCGATGCCGTTAAAAATTTATCAATACGCGAGCCACGCATATTGAAACGATATTTCATTCCTCTCGCCGTCGGACCTTTCCAGCCGGGCATGTTTTTGTAATTTGGCACGCTTCCGCATTTTTATGCGATGTAACGTGTGGCATAGCTTACGATCGATATGAATTAAAGGGCTATCAAAGGTCAGGAAGGAGGAAGGATATGAGAATCTTTTGTCATTTGTTAGAAGGTGTGATTATCTCGATCTTATAAAATAGTTTTATTTACGACAGTATAGAAAATCAAATTTTTACGATGTTTCTTCGTCAATACATGTTCGTATGTATTATGTTGCGATTTGCATTTTTAATTTCCACAAAGGAGAACGTTGAGTGTCGACCTCGCGGAATGAAACGTTCCTTCGACACACACTTGGCAAGAATAATCACTCCACTCGTAATTCTCGTCTTCATTAAGAGCGCGCGCACGGATTCGAAGGATGAATGCGGGCGACACTCTCAAAAATTTATAGACACCAACGGTCGCACCCCCTCTTGGCGACTTTTCAAACGGATCCTTACAAAGGCTTATGCCTTCGTCTCTCTGGCCCTTTGCATGTCGCACCCTCGAAATTCGCCCTTCTCCGCTTGCACCAGTTTATGAATCTTTAAGAAAGCGTCGAGGTACGGAAAACCAACGGTGCGGTCTTTGTTCGGCGAGCTCGTTTACCCGTTACAAAGTGTCTGGAATCTGTTAGGAGTCGGGATAAATGATTAAAGAGGGATCGGTGCTTGCCACCGGATTTACGAGTGTCGAAACAATGCGAGATTTTGCCATTGTTATCCGTGCGCGGTGTGCGGGTGAAAGGTCCGACTGCAAGAAATTCAAGTAGATGCGCTCGGGAAGAAATACTCGACGCCATGTAGGAATATCTGATTTTCGCTTCCTTTTTAGCCGGCATCATTAGAACTCGTCGGTATTTGCGACTAACGAAGTGAAAAGTTTCCTGACATAGCATAATGCCTTTACGGAGTAAAGCTCCTCTCTTCAAACTGCTTTAAGTATTCGCAAAGCCACCAATAACGAAGCCTGTTTTCTTGTTATGTTTCAGCGATCATGGCGCATTTCTTCTTCCTGGCTGCCTTCTTCTGGCTGAACACGATGTGCTTCAACATCTGGTGGACATTCAGGTATGTCGTGATTTATTTCCCATCTTCTCGCTCCTGTTGTCGAATGTATCTTAAAACATGGCTAGGACATGCGCTTGACAAATGTACAAAACGGACGCTGCGTTTTTATCGCGCGCGTGGGCTAATGCGTCCGTAAGAAAGCAGAAGGGTGTACGCAAAGGATATTTTAGGAAATTATATCGCTACAGAATAATTTATTTAATTTCACGTAACATTTTGATGTCTAAGGTTCTTGATATGCGATTACTAAATAAAAGAAATAATCTAAACAAACAGAAAATTTAGAGTCAAACGCCGAAATTCGGGCGAAATTGATAAATATCGGTTACATTTAATCTTCATTAATTATATAAATCATATATTTCAGTCCCTTCTTTGGGCAATCCTCAGCGAATTACAAAGTCGAAATCTAAATTATGAAGGAAGTGGTCAGTGCGCAAGGAAACTAAAAAACGTCGATCAATACACGGAGTAATAGCTGTTGTATAGACCAAACCGGTATCCAGCAATGTGTCACGCACTTCGCAACGGTTAGTGTACGTACATGCAACGTTTTTTAGTTTCCTTGCGCATCGTCTAGTTCATAATTTATTTCTTGACTTTGTAATTCACTGAGGATGGTCCAAAGAAAAGACCGAAATGTACGATTTATATAATTAATGAAAATTAAATTTAGTTTACATGTATTAATCATTTTCGCACCTTAATTTCGGCGTTTGACTCTAAATTGCCTGTTGGTTTATTATTTTTATTATAATTATTTCCGTTTGTTTATTATAATTATTTCGTTTATTCAGTGATTTATATAATGTATACAGAAAAAAAATACTGTTGAATCAAGAAGATTAACTCTAATTACGCTACTGTTGGAAATTTTATTGATTCAACAGCATTTTTCTTTCCATGTAAGAAAATTTCACGAATATTAAAATTGACTCGTAACATATAGATATTTGAAAAAATACGAATCTGTCGGAATATACGGTGTCTCAATTGTAAAACTCTTTGTTTTCTTCACTTGCGCATTTGCGAGACGAGAAAGAAAACTTGCAATACACAGATTAGTGCCAGCTATCACCGCGTCCAGCGTCCTATTCCATTCTGATTGTCATCGTGGCCAGGCATTAGAAAATAGTCCCGCACGAGAAAGTATGATTTAATCGGAAATTCAGCATTAGTTATACCATCCACCTGATGAGTGATATTCAGTCCAATTTGTAAACAATCACTTGTCCAAAATAGTTTGAGAACGTCGATTGTCGTGATTTCGCGGCCACCGAATATATTCGTTACCGATCGGCGGTCGACGACGGTTGTTGATTGGCAGTAAATGACTTGGCCCTTTTCTGCGGTGCCAATTGTTTTGGTATTCTCGCGCGTCGCATGCTTGTCCGTGCCCGCGTCATTACGTCTCGAGCCGACAAGCAACACACGTACTGCGACGCCGAGTACGTGTATCGACACATTGTTGACAAATCCTGTCGTGTGATTAAAATATTTCGTCTGCTATTGAAATATTGAGCCGGGCTCTCGTCGGGCTTCGCGTTAATTCACACGTGTTTCTCCGATCGAGTCGTATCTACGCGAGTGTCAATGTCAGTGTCAGTGCCTGCGTCACGATGGAGTATCCGAAGCAATCAGGACGGAGGACGCCAGGACACGGCCAACGATACATCGTAGATTTCCAAGTATGTCAAGTATTTTATTATGCTGGACACTGGACAAATTTAACGAAAGCAAGGACACAGCCAAGTGTGTCGAAATTTAAAATTTAATAATTTGATTTATAAAAAAGTTTATTAAACTATATGCATTAATTTTATACACAAAATTCGTATAGCTGTTATCTTTATAATTAACACATATTTATATATTTTTTCTGAGTATATAGTTAAAAATTATTTGTACACCAAAGGGTTTTATTCCCGTTAATTGGATAAATAAGTAAACCAATCAATCAATTCTACATACAAAATTCGTATGATTACCACTCGCTTTATTATATTTTTCTCTGAATGCACGATTAACAAGTCTAAGGCTTGTATTAATAGTTGTCGCTTAAAACTCGTCTCAAATGAGACCACTCAAATCTGATTTCGGAATTGGATCTGAATTTTTCAGTTGAATTGCGATTAATATAATGTCACGTGCATCGTGAAATTTAACTGGGAAATCTAAATCTAACTTTGAACTCGGATCTGAGTATCTCACGTGGGGCAAGTTTCAAGCAACGATTATTAATACGAGCGTAAGTCTCGTGAATGTCGAGATCGCCGCTTTCTCCATTTTCTCTGTATCGCATTCTTGCGATCTTGGATTATTCAACGCTATCAATCTTACACGGCAGCCTTTAATTAATACACCTCAAAACGGACAAAAGGGGTTGCAGCGGGTGCGATAGGTAGATGCGGCATCGATCGATAACTCGTTTATGTAACGCCGGGGTATCTCTTTACGCGCGCGGTCGGGTTATTTGATAAGACCTTTGCAAAGCATATCTTTGATGGATCAACGAGCAGGATACGCGAAGGAAGGTCCCCCTTCGCCGATCTCGTGTCTCGGATGTCTGAAATTTCGAAACTCGCTGACGCACCGGTTAGAACACTCTCGGAGGGTCGCGCGACGTCGCGCCGTTGACCTTCGTAGATTTCCGGAACGCGCGGAATGCCCTTTTCCTCGTTCTCGCGACGTTAACGTCGTAAAAATTGCAAGAGAGAATGCTTAGAGTCTGCGCGAGCATTCCCCTCGCCAATTCACGTCGCGCGATAGAATGCGAACGCGCGGCGAGAGAACCGTCGCAAAAGTGGACGGGCTACGATTGTTGCTGAACAGCGATAAAGCATGCGCGTCGGTTATTAAACGTACGTTATGTACTTTATGCGCAAACAGAACTCCGCGTTCACGCAGGTGCGAAGGAATTCCGGATTATCGGTAGATCCGATAGTCGTTTAACCGGAAGTTAGTCTCCCTCTCTCTCTCCCGTTTGAGGAATCGAGATAAAACGTTCATCACACTCGTCCCACGAGCAGATTTTAACGCGCGGATTTATCGATTCGACGTGTACCTGTTCGCGGCGTACACACAGCGTCGCTTTTAATTCCTAGAATAATAAAATACCTAATTATCCCGATGAACATCGACGCGCGAGCGCGATAATGGTGAAATAAAGCCTAATTAACGCGTCGCCTCATTACGGTCCCGAAATAATTATACAATCGCGGATAAATCGTCCGTACGCAAGCAAACGATTATAATAATTGAACTAAATTTCAGGCGAGCTCTGCTCGTTTCTTGCCCGCGGCTCGTTGCCCGTCGCAACTAATTAAAGTACGCTCGGCCATACGTAATTATAAAAACTACTGGGTCGCGAGTGAGCGAATGGCGAACGAATCGCGCACGCAAATTGCGTCTGCGCGGACGGCTGTTCGCGCGCGAAATTCCAGCGAATTGTTTCGCTGGATCCTAAGAACGTATTGTCCAGTGCTGTATTTTTCGTGACGGACTCTTGATCCAAGCTCTGGGTTACTGTCAAACTTTTGGTGTTATTTTTAACCGCAATGTAGATCGGTTTGTAATTTTTTCATAATTTTCTCATTACTCTGAATTGTGGGCGATATATCTTGAAAAATCTCCGGCGTCGTTGAAAATGATACGTCGTGAGTCGTAATTAAAAAGCGCGTAACAACCGTGATCATTACGGGCAGATTGCCATTGCGATCGTTGCTCGTCGAGGGTAGCGGAAGGAGGGCATTACGGTGAGAGATCGGATCAGGATCACTCGGTCGACTGGTTAATGCGATGCAACACGGTCACCGTAACGGGTCTCTTCGTCTTTCTCTCAGCGTTCGTTTCGCGCCCACGGTTCCTCTCTCTCTCTCTCTCTCTCTCCAAGCCCGTGCTCCTTCCCCAGCTACCTCGCGATCTTTCTCCACGCGTTTCTTCGCGCGTTTTTTCCTCGGATTCTCTGCCCGATCAGGCCTATCCGCGTCTCGCCACGCGCGATTATCCAGGCTCCCGCGGCTGGACACGTCGAATTCTGACACTCGGCTTGTGTGTGTGCGTGTGTATACATCAATAATATTTGATTCGGTGAGCCACGAGTGTTTTCCTCAACGAGCGTTGCTAACGATTCCCAGACTCACGGGATGATGAATCACTCCGCGAAAAACTCCCCCGTGAAAAAGCCTCTCGCGCCGGCTCTTTTTACCGAGGAGCGCGTTTCGTTCCGGCTGGAAGGCGCGCTTGAAAATTTCGACACGGCCGTCGAGTGACGAGCGATAATCGCCGATCCGAGGGTGAGGCGCGCGCGCGCGATCACGGTGGATCGTCAATTTTCGAACGGGATTAGCGGAAGCTGCAGCGAAAGGAGCTCTCAAAAGCCCGGGCTTGAAACGATGCCAATCTGATATCGCGCTGTAACGAAGTCTCCGAGTTGCCGTCGCGCCGCTAATGTATCCTCTCGCTTTTCCTCGCGGCCGCCTTGGAACTCGCATGCGAGTCTGTGTGTGTAACCGAGATATACAACGCGCAACAATGATGCTAATAACGCTAACAGCCGACGCGTAACCAACATCGTCCGTGCATCGCCGCTCGCCTCGGAGAGGCCCCGCGTGGGTGGCGACTAAAAATATTTAAACGCGCGGTTTAAGCCGCCACCGTCGCCGCATTTGCATCAACGGCCCTGACTTTTCACGACCGCGGTTCGACGAACTTGCATTCTCTCTCTCTCTCTCTCTCCATCGCGCGATGCGGCACTTTTATCCCTATTTCGCGTCTCGCGTTATATAGCGCGTGTACACGCGATATACACACACACATGCACATACACGTACACACGCGGCCGAAACTGTCGGCGACACGTGCGCCCGTGTTGTATCCACTTGTTGAAGTGTCAGCGGCACGTTGCGTTCACGGTGGACTGCCTCGGCTCCGTGATTTTCGAGCTGGAAAATTATCTTGATGTCATTTGCGGCTGTGCGCGCGCGCTTGTGCATGGTCGT